GGTTGAGGTCCAGCGGTGCACACTGCGATCGGATCCTTGCGGTTGAGAGGTCCAGGGATGCACACTGCGATCGGATCCTTGCGGTTGAGGTCCAGGGGTGCACACTGCGAGGGGATCCTTGCGGTTGAGGTCCAGGGGTGCACACTGCGAGAGGATCCTTGCGGTTGAGGTCCAGGGGTGCACACTGCGATCCGGAGCTGGCCAGACAAGATCGGCGAAGCAGATTGGCGAGGAAGGAAGCAAGGAGGAAGGAGGAAGAGGAGGAGGACGAGGAGGCGGCGGAGGCGGAGGCGGAGGCGGAGGAAGAACAACTGTGATAAAATCTAACAACCCTCACCTGGCAGGTGGGGAAAAACTCACATGAATGAAACCGCATGTCAAACGTAGCCTTTCCGGGAGTCTTTGAGGCAAAGGCCAAGTGCAAGCATTGCATATAATCGCAACTAGCTAGGCAACTACATGTTCCATGCAATTATCATTAGCAAGAGAGATTCACTGCGACCGCGATCTTGCATTTCTTTGAACCGTCTACAAAGCTGAGCCTAGCACTTGCTGGGCATCACACTTCAGGACTTGGCAGGTTTCCTCAAAGTTCAAACGCAAGGCATCAAGAGGATCCCGTCTGTGAAGTGATTGGAATGTTTCCCAGCTCAAGGATTGCACAGCTGCCAGCGACTGTCTGTGCACTTAATGTACCTCAACCGAACCTGACTCAACCCTCACATCGCGGCGTCACGGGAGGTTGTGAATCCAAAGACTTGTGGCAATTCAGCTGTGGGATGCTGGTCTCAGATTTCATGGACAAGCTGGGGAATCCAACGTGCACCACGTCCACATCTTTGGGCAGCAACGAAGCCACGCTGTTTGTGACCGTCTCTGCATGCCTTCAGCAGAGGTACAAGAAAACAGAGTGGCGAACACAACATGCGGAGGCTTCGTTTTGACAAGTGCAAACATGGTAGGCACAGCAGCAGCTTTCAAACGGACGTTGATGATGCAAGTTGAACCTGTGTTCGAGTTCAGGAATAGTAGTTGTTCGTTGGGTCATTGCTGCATGCTTGAGGTCCCAAGTTGTAGAGGGATGGTTACAATGGGTTCATTGGATTCAATGGCATGTTGGCTGCGGACAACGGGGTGAGGGGCAAATGTCCATCAACTCAGATTGATTCCAGATTCCAGTGATTCCTAGAGATTTCAGAATTGTTTGCCCAAACCATGTGCAGCTGAAGCAGTATCTTTCAGAGGATCTGCTTTCATCAAATGAGGGTCTGCCAAAACGTACTGTCAAGCAAAGGACATGAATCAGCAAGGTTATCGCTTTTGAGGGGGCCTATCGCTTTTGCAGGTTTTAGCCAAATGATGCCCAATTTCTGAGATTGCACGTTTTGGCAGTTGCTCAAGTGCATTCAAGGCCAACAAATCTTTGTTGGTCGGTATTAACATGCACTAACATGTTCAAACCGTTGAAGCCAAACAAAATGCTTCAAACTGTCCATAATGAAGAACAACATCGGACAACATTGTGAGACCCCCGCTGGTCGATGTGCGGCTTCAAGAACTTCCCGTGGAAGGAGTCCTCAAGGCTGCATTTTGTTTCCTGTTTCCAGGGACAAACGTGGATATGCAAGGACGCTACTAGGGGCTCCTGGCCTTACTACTAGGAACAAGAAGCTACTAGGAACAAAGGGCATCGCTACTAGGAGCAAGGACGCTACTAGGGGCTCCTTATCATGTGGGGTGTGGCATCTGCTAGGCCCATGACGTAGAGATCGTAGAACAGCTCTGCAGTTCTGTGGAAAATGTCGGTCGTCAGAATAGGCTTTCCCGCCTCAAGCAGCCCAGCAATGGTTGCTCCATGCTTGTGTAGAAATACCCCCCAAAAGGCCACTGCTACTGCGACTCAAAAGTAGATTGCTTCAAATAGTTTGCGGAAAGTGCATGTGCAAACAGCACTGGCACTCGATTATGTACTACCTTTGCAGCCCTTCCTGCACCGGATCAAAATTGTCAGAGAGCGAGCAAATGACGTACATTTTGAATTGTGGTTTTGCAGTCACTTGCAATATTGTCTTTTTTGAAGTTGACGCAACAGTTCGGCCGCGCCTGCAAAATTTACCACAACGTTATCGCTTGATTGTCTGAGCGACAGTTGTTGGTTTTTACTAGGCCTTCACTAAGCATCACCTGCCATCTGCCAGAGCTAAGTCGCGGTCGTGGCCGGTTGCTGATGTGGGTGTAGAGCCATCCTTGAGTGCTCTGCGTTGCCCTGTGGCACTGCATGGCACTGCTACACTAAACAAGAGTCATGCTCCTCGTGCCTGTCAGCTCAATTTCGATTCAATTCAAAAAGCTACTAGTTTACAATACAACCTTGTTCCTGTACCGCAGCTACAAAACAAAATAAAGCCGTTATCCTTGATCAACTCTTTCTGAACAGCAAACTATGCTCATTGTATATAGGCTGCTGGCGTCGCTTTGTGCCAGTGCCTGGTTCAGGAGGAAATATACAGTGGTGATATTCATGCTTCTAAACATTTCCAAACCTGTCCTCAGCCTCAGCGTTCGAGTGTTCCTTCGCAACATAGTTAGGGTATATTGGGGCATCCAAATTCTGAAGGGAAATCTGTGCAGCTTGAGCAATAGCAACTTCATTCACCACCGCACCTTTACAGCCGATTATAGCCCTTCTCTCTGGGTGCACAGATTTTGCAAAACAAAGGTTGCAAACATGAGAAGAAGCAAAAAAGGTCTTTCATATCTTGCTTTGTGGTGCTTTGGAATCCAATCCAATCCCAATCCCTATGCATTCAACAAAAACCAACTGAGCCAGGCGTGCAGCTATAACGAACGACAGGTACAGGACGCGCATCTTTGTCCTTGGGCTCCGTTGCGGTCTTTTGAGCCACGGTGGTGACATGTGGTGTCTCTCCAAATCCAAACTTCTTCTGCTCAAACATCTTCCCTCCAGAAGGTGGAGTGATTTGTTGAATCCGCAACTTGAGGATCTAGGACGTGATTGTGATGTCAATGTGTGTTAATGATTCTTAATGCCTGAAGATGAATGACATTTGTCATTTGGCCAGAGTTCCGAAGACAATCCCCAGCTAAACCCATTGATTGGGTAGATTAGCCACCCTACCTAGCCCCCTGCCCCAGCCACCTGCCGCGCCGCTAAGTGCTACTCCAAGCAGACGACCCAAGGTGGCGTTCCCGTCACCAAAGCTTAAGCTTGAGCCAAAGTCAGCAGGTGTTGTTGTCGCCCAATTTCACAAAAATGGGACTGCTCAGCGCTCCATGTTTCTTGGAAGAAAAGATTTGAAGTCGTACATAGCTCATCTTCGAAAGAGAATGTTTGGACTCGGACCCCTTCCAAATTCGTTGTGAAGGCTTGGGCTGTTCCTGTGAGCAAAGACTGACCCCGATGCTGCGAGACATGCTGGCTGGGGCGGTAAGCACTTGCAGCCTCTACAGTAGTGCTGGCCCAAGTGAGTTCTGATGCTGGAAACAAAGCAACCACCCTGTTGAGAATCACCTCGTGAACAAAAGGCAAGGTCTGCGATAATCTTTGGACGCGCATTTGTAGGCGGCATCAAAAGCATACCAATATCACAGGAATCAAACAAAGGTCACGGATTGCTCTGGTTTAGCTCTCGCTTCATGCCTTTCAATTTCCGTAAACACCTTTGTGTCGCTGATGGACCACGATCCATCACCCCACAGAGACTCTTATCAATTTTCTTCGGTGATCTCTCCGGATCAAGCGTAATGATTGACAACATATGTTCATCGTTGAAATGCAAGAACTTGTCCTTGGCTGTACTCGGCATGAATGCACAGGCAAGTCAACTCCAGCTGTATTGTGCAAACCCGCTGTAAGAAACTTAACTTTTCTTTGTGAAACTAAATGATAGCACACGATGGTACTTGAACAAGTCAAGCACACGAGGAACACTTGATTTGAAAGGCCAAGACTCCGTAGGTCCCTGATGTGAGCCAATCATCGGGGTGGGCCGACTTCGCCCTGTTTTGCTCGCCTTCACTGATGCCCAAAGCAACACCGCTTTTCATGGTCCGCAAGCAAATCAGCCCTTTCCTGGGCACCGACCGCGTTCAAATCCAGAATTTTGCAAAGGGCAACAGGCCTGGCAAAAAGACAATGAGTTGAAAGGAAAGACCTAGTGTTCACCGACTTGGACAAAAACGCTTTTAGGCTAAACCATTTCTCAAGCTCTACTCGTGGGATCACGATACTTCTTAACTAACCCAGGTCACCATACCGGAACCCAGTACGTCCCAAGAATATTGCGTTGACCACAACCTGTTCAGGACATATCAGGCTCTGGGTCAAAACCCTAACCTGGTTGACGCGGAAGACACCAACATGGACTCCCAAAGAATCCAAAGCATCTCAACCGATTGCATGGTTTTGGTTGGGTCTGGACCCACGGCTATATCTCACGTTACACTGATGCCAAAAAGTATCCCTTTCCAGAAACTCCTGGCAAAGTCCACAAAGTCCGTGTCATACGGCCAGTGCAAGTCACCTGGAAAACGCCCAGCAGGTCTCCACTGGAAACTCTCTCTCACTCCCTCTCCCCCTCTCTCCTTGGATTGTTTGACCCTTCAAACTTCAAACGTACATATATATATATAATATTATAAATATTGTATATATATATATATATATTGAAATATATAATGTGTGTTGAAAAGTGGACATGACGACATAAAGAACTTTGTAGATTGGAAACATGGGCCTCCAAACAGTTCCTCCATTCAAATTCAAATTGACAGCTGAGAGCTCTCTGATCTTTTTGGCAAGCCTTGCCTAGGAGTCTCCTGTAGTTTGCGTCACCTTTCAGAATCACCACTGCCTCAGCGTAATCCTCTTGCAAGTCTTGGGGCAGTTCCCAGAATGCTCTGCCTCCAGTGTAAAAGTCCTTGGGTGTGCTGGATGACTCAGGGTGGAGACATGCAGCTTGGGAGCTGACCAAACATGATTTACTTTAGAACTCTTGCAGCGCTCCTTCTGTCTTCACAGCGCACTCTCCCACGAGCAGTCTTCAATCCTGATTTGGGTCCCAGGCTCGTGGGCCTTTACCCTCAGCCGACCATCCGCTTGGCTCTGCTTCAGCCTCTCAGCGAGCACTGGCAATCGGGGCTCCAGCCACTGCAGCACCTCGGGCACATCCTTCTGGGTCACATCAGATACCTGAGACATGATGACTCAAAACCTTCAAGCAATGTCCATTAAATATTGTGAAGCTTTATGACACGATCATCCATTCCAACCCTTGGAATCCTTGGTTTGATGCGGCATTGTGTCAAAGTCATTTCTGCATGTTCCACACGAAACAAGCTGTTATGTCGCTTGTACGTATGTTCCAGATCCATCTGCCATGATGTGTCCTTTTTCCTAAAGCCGCTGCCTTCCTTCCACCAAGCCACGAAAACAGGGGCATCTTTGACATGTAGGGTCACGGACGCGGTTGTGAGTCGCAGGATACTATCCACCAACACCAAATCGCAAAGAACTTCCTTGCTCGGGTTGCTGGGATAGGCAGGCTGTCGATCAAGCGGCTAATTTGGCAGGGAAATCAAAATAATCAAGACGACAAGTTCCTCGCGTTTCCTCGCCAATGTACCCATGCCTGGTTATACCTGCCCGAGCTTCCAGGCCATGGTTGTCCAGGACAACAATGACGTCTGTCGCACTGCTCAGCAATTCCACCGCAACGCCACGGTGGTCAGAGACCAAGCTGTCCACCGCGCCCCCCTTGACCTCGACAGCAGCAGAGTGGTTTGGCCTTTCTAGGGAAGAAAATGCACCTACCTAAAGCTATCATCCAAATAATACATGTGCAAAACAAAATGAAGACAGCCATGGATAGCCAAATTAGCTCATGCTGATGACAGCCTTTTGCAGTCGCAGTGTGGCCCTTGAGCTGCATGTGCGCTTATATTATTAAGACCAGGCCTGACTAACAGTTCGTTTCTGAAGTGGCTGCTAGGTGGCGGCTGCAACTTCACCAGCGCTTAGTGACAAATCGGCTTGGTTGCCCCACAAAGATCTGAGAATGGTTGCATCTAAAGCATCCTTGGAGCGTGCGAGCGGGTGGGATAGCTTGAAAAATTAGAAGCTTGTTATGCTCACGGAAGGTCTCACAGTTTGTAACAGCTCAAGACCAATAATTCGCTGACCACATTTGGTGTTCATATCTCTTACAGTAAACAAGCCAAACAAAACTTGAACACATTTTCTCTCCCTCTCTCTCTCTATCTCTCTCTTGCTCATCTGCGGCAGCTATGGTTTTTGGAGCCATCCTCGGGTAAAAGTAATGAACTGCAGCAGTACAGGGCTCGGAAACAGCTATCAGCAGAATTCACGCGAAGTCTCTTTGACCTTCTCAGAGCTCTTTGCTTCAGCGACAACATCCATCAGTGGTGCTAGGGACGCCTGCAACGATTCCTCCGCTTGCTCCAACGCCTGCACTCAAAGCCACGGACAAAGATCAAACATGTTGAACATGTCACCTTCAGGGGCACTGTCGATCCACTCACATGGTCTGTATAGCAACTTATTGCACCAACAAGGGACCGTCTTGGAACACAAGTGCTGCACTCGAGAAGAATTGCTACATTAATGTTGCATGTGTCCCACTGCAGGTCCTTTCCTTGAGATTTCTTGAGCAGTGTTCCATGATGGTTCATGTCTTTGGGTTGTAAGAAATGGATCGAGATGTGCGTCGCATGGCGTTGTTGCTTGCCATCGCTGGTGGCCTGAAACTTCACCGGCTCAAACGGGTCATAGCTGGTGGCCTCAGCGCAGTTCTCCAACTCCTGGCAACAGGAGTCTGTGTTGGGAGTCTCTGTTGGCAAACTATCGATAACTATCGATGACGTTCATTTTCACAGAGAATGGCAAAAGGCACAGTTTGGAGACTTGCCACCTTACCTTTATTGGCTGTTTTAATGCTTGAGGAGCTATGTCTTCCTGCTCTTCAATGTAACATAGTGCCTCTTTAGAGCCCACTGGATGAGTTGAACCTCTTAACCTGGAGGTTCATGACGGTCACAATTAATGATTGTTTCTCCACCCCCACTCGTCGCATGCTCTTTTCAGCAAAGGCAACAGGGATAGCAGCCCGCAATGAGATCTACTCACTTGCTGAATATGCCTCATACTGCCTGCAGGGTCGCTTCCAAACTCAAACTATGCCTTGAAAGAACATTATAGACTTTCATGTAATGAATAACCTTTTGGGATGATAATCTGGCTTGGCTCTGCTCCTGAGTGCAGAAAACTTAGGGAGCCTTCAACGTCCTATAGATCTCAAAGCTCCCTGCTTCCGAGCCTAGCTCATTGATAGCCCTTGGCTTGCAGGTTGAAGAGTCTTGCATAGGTCCCTTCCAACGCCAGGAGCTCTTCATGGCCGCCAAATTCCTGAATGACCCCATTCTCCAAAACCGCAATCTGGTCTGCCATGCCTGAAAAGCCCGCCCAAAGGCAAACCACCAAACAACATTCCACTCATCTCTGCCCAGTGGACAAGCAAAAGCATTCCAGCATAATTTATATAATTGAGTCTTAGGCCCGCCTAAGACTTAGGTACGTATCAGTCTTTCAACGATGCAATCAGCCACTGCTAACAAAACCATGTTTGGTATGATATTGAAAACACACTTCTCAAATCGCCAAGCTACGGACTGTCGAAAATCGATGACCTCACTCTCCGAGTGAATCCTATTTCCGAAAACTTCATGCCAAACAATTTTCTCGCAACACCCTCCACATTCCTCTCGAGGAAACAACCCTCCAACTATCCCTCCTTAGGCAAGACTCCCACGTAAATCTTAGTGATACTCCCTCTCTCTATACACAGCAACAGAATGTAAAAGACCAGCTGTTTCTGTTTATATATATCCTTTTATACTGCAATGATCCAGATTCCCTGCGAAAGGCGACTGAAACACAGTTCGATACCGTAACCTCCGCCTTGACAAGCCCAACTAGCATCAAAGGCAAAACCAAACAACGAGCAGTGCAAGTTGCATTCCTCCATTTCAACAACAAGTGGCTGATCAGCAGTGCTGATTGCTTGGCTGAAAGGGAGGCCAGCCGCTCGAAGATGGTGGCCTCCGCCTCCGCATCCATAGCCTCACTGTTTTCAAAAAAAAACTTACGCCCAACTTCAGAGACTTTGTGTTTTTACAGAAACAGTCTGACTGGAGAGACCCTTGTGTTCCAAGCGTCTGCTGTGGGCTCGTCGAGGATCAGCAGATCTGCCTTTTCTCTCATCAACGCACGGCTCAAAGCGACCTTCTGCCACCTGGCAAGGAACACTTTGAAAGACTCAGACTTGCGTGGATATACCTGGGTACCTCTATATACCTCGTCACAAAAACAGAATTCGCAGCAGCTCCAAATTTTGATGTCCAAGCCGCTGCCCTCCACTAAGCTCGCGCCCCCTCATGAAGAGATTTCCTTGGCTGCTCTTTTGGTTTCGATGAAAGGATATTGTGAGGCAAGTGGAGGAACACTCAACCCGACACGATATTATATACAGTACTCACTGACAAACAAACAAACGAACAAACAAACAAACAACAATCGTCTTCCGGTGGATGTATAGTCAATAGGTGATGAGAATTCTTAAAGCAAGGGCAACACCGAGGCAAACATCAGGAAAGCTTCCTAGCTGCGTCTCGTACTTCTGTGGCCACTGATTAATGAACGGGGCAGCCATACCCCGTTCGGCAGCGCGGGACAAGCGAGGCTCCTCTTCGACTGCACCAATATCACCTCCATCAGGGTTTCTCGCGGAGGTTGTATCAATGCTTCCAGCAACTCTCGAGAATTAGATCAAACCTACGGCGAACATTCCCGAGAGAGGCAGCTGCAAAGCACAGTATTATGGTCAGCAGACATTTGTCAATTCTCTTGCATATTTGCCATCCCCATCCGTCCGCTCACCTACGCCAACGTTTTCGCCCACTGTCAACTCATACCTCACCTTGGGCCAACAAATCAATCAACGTTCTCAGAATTGCATTGCGGCAGAACAAATGATGGAAATGCAGGTGGCCTTGAAATCTTGATGGAAGTTATTCCCTTGCAAAATTTGCTACGTATTTACGCCACATATGTCTTGAACAGTCGACTGTTTCTCCATCAATCTGGTAGCAGTAAACTGAATAAACATTGGACCCGAATTCAACACTCGAACAAACTGAATCAAGTTGACCAGGGCGGAAATTTGTTGATTGAGACTGAGATGTTGAGTTTCGGAAGACGCGGGGGTCAGCTGACAAACGGGACTGAAAACAAAAACAACCGTCAAATCATGTCATTCACCATTTCCCAGACAGCGAGCCGCAAGACCGCAAACAATCAGAGGTGGGACTAGAACAGTACTAACTTGATCATGTAAATGTTTGAAGGAACGCTTCGACCAGCATCTTGAAATTTTTTGCAAACACGAGTTACCTAGCTTCATAAGAAACTTTGCAGGTCCAAGACACGAAGTCCTGAAAGATTGCACCGCACCGGGACTTGAGCTCTTCCGCATCCCATTCTTTCAAGTCCAGTCCTCATCAAGCAACGAGGTCAACAGTCAACTGCTTTCTCTGGCATCTAAATCCATGGCCCTGGCCTGCTTGCCTGGGTTGCGACTTGGAACCTTCAGCCACACGGGGGCAAGAAGTTTTCTGCTTAGGCACACCAAGCCGAACCTTACAGGTTTTGCGCGCCTTTCAAGGGAATTTTGTTTGGCTAGTTTGGTCACTGTGTGGCATGGATCAAGCCTCAGTGCCTGCAGAGCCGCCCTCTCAAACATGCCCACATTGGCTGTGAAATACGCCCAAAGCCGTCCCAAGCTAGGTGCACCAGCACCATCCAGTTTCAGTTTAAAGCCCTTCACTTGCGCATGTCGCAGAGTGTTGGGATCGGGGAAAGCTCCATTTGCGAACCCGTCCCTCGCACTCTTTTGGGCCGATGCAGCCTGCGGAGTTAAGTGAGAGCTGCTGCTGCTGCTGCATGTATGTTCACGCACAGCGCTGGTTTCCATGTTTCTACTTGTTTCTACTACTGTGTGAAAACTTCTTGAAAATATTCGCGCTCCTCCTTCAGGACATCAGCAACCGACGTAGTCTACTACTATGTAGACTGTAGACTGTGACTTCTGAAAGTCTTCTTACGTAGAGTTCATCTCGCCTTGCTGCGTTCAATGTCTGACTCAAGCCTTTGTAGCCCCGCGCAAGCTTGAAGGCATGCTCTTGACCTCAAAACTGTCATACTGCTCATTGAAGCATCTGGACTTTCGACCTCTTAATCTGGAGGCGTCTTTCATCCACGATTCTTGGAATCTCCGGTGGCAAGAGATCTTCAACTGATACCTCCACCCTGTTCCATCATCTAGAAGAAGTGTAGCTGCGTTGGCGCTAAGCTCCTCCTGTCCTTCTGCTTCTGATTCTGGTTCCTCCTCATTGTTGCGTCTCTGGGCCCGCTTGTTGCTCTTGGTGGTGTATCAAGCGCTCTTCGGTGAATCTGCCCCCTCCTCCGGTTCGGAGTCATCTCACCTGTTTTCTCTTGGCCATACTTCTGGCAACCCACTTCTCCTTCCTCAAAAGAAGCCAACTCCACATACCCATTGTGCTTGACAAGTGCTCTATATAATGTCTGTGAGTCTGTGAGTAGTCCATCTCAGTCCGCCTGCGTATTTTTCCTGTCTCTCTTGATCTTGTACACTGTGATTACAGCTCCAACGCTGTACACTAGCAGAACTTCTAGGGTCCTGGTTCTCCTCCAATCCAATCAGAAAAGCTCCCGACGCAGCGAGAAATCGCACATCCAAGAGAAAGTAAAGATCTCTCGAGCTGCTGATCTCACTTCGATTCAACAACTTCTCTTTCCGCCGCCACTCACCCAGGGCCGCTCGCGAAGATCAATTCTCCTAAGGCTTTGGCGAGACATTGAAGTTTGCCCTTCGCCACCAACATTTTAATTCACTTAAATTTGTGCTTCTCCAATCCTGTCGCCTTCTGCATCCATTGCGTTGCGCTGAAGCAACAAGTACTGTACCTCAACCTCCGCTGGCTCAACGGTTTTTGTCCCAATGTCTGAATTGAATGTTGGCAACTGTCCTGACCTGTTTCACTTCGAACTCTTTAGAAGCTAACATCTCCTGACACCAAAGCAACTGAGATGTCCGCTTCCTCTGTTGCGCATGGTCTGCCTTGTTGCACTGTTGTCCATGAGGCACACGCGGTGAACGGTGAACGTGCTCAGTTGTCAAACATCTGAGAGGTTGCCTGATGAAAACAGCATCACAAGCTGCACTGACCAACGTGCGCAACTCACTTTCAGCACTATACTGAGGCTGATCAAATTTTGTCTTCTTGATGAGCTGAAGACAGCAACGTTGAAGTCTTTGCCGTAGAAGTCGATGTTGTTGCGCTCGAACTGTAATGTCCCTGTTGGCCTGTACCTGCGCCTGTACTCTGCTGATTGGGCTCTGTAGCCTGTCTCACACGCCAACAGTCTTTTGCAACGTGACCTGGCTTGCCACAAGAAGTCTGCAGTCGCCCCCTGGCCCTGTTCAAACCTCCAGGGCCAGGCCAGGGTGCTTGGGTGTGGCGACACTGAGATGTTTGGCGTGGTCCATGGGCAACAGGCCGTTAGCTGAGGTTTTGGTGTGGTCCAGACTACTCTTTCGGCGCGGTTCTCAAGGCAACGTTAGAGAGTTCCGAGGGCGCCTGACACACCGCAGGGTGGAGGCTGTCGCCTGCGACCTACGGGCGATGCAAGCCTTGCGCACTCGATTCTGCTCATGCGCCTTTGG